GTATTTTTGAATACTCCGAGTTTTCTTAGAAATGATTCTGAAATTCTTTTAACAAATGCATTTTGTAGAGCAAACATTTTTCTACAAAATTAGATGTTTTACAGCTCTGAGAGAATCGTGATAATTGATTTGTAGCAATTCTTCCGGATACCCCAACACCAGTTAAAAACTGGTGCATGCCTAACTGTAACTCTTCTTCAGTTATCTGCCAAGACAGGAAATTTAGGCTTTCTATAGACGCACCTAAATCAAATAATAACAGTGACTGATAATAATAGAATAGAATGACTATTTGTATAGCCATAAACGGAAATTTATTCAATAAACAGCGTTTCTCACCACGGCAAGAAAAAAGGTTGACTTCGCCACCCAAAAAAACTCTTTAAACTGTCTGCCAAGTTTGTCTTTTTTCTCACCAGCGAGTGTCTGCTTAAAGTTTCTCTGTTTTGACCATTAACTTTCTGCCAGAATTTAAATCTTCTCTGAACCTGAATGAGAGCACTCGAAAATTAGTCAATGAAATACTCGTAATTGAAAAAAGAAACATACACTGATATCACTCAACAGATATAAAAACAGGTAGCCTTTAATATATTGTTAATAGAGAACCCATCTGATCATCAATTGCGTGTATAACTGGCATGATTGACTTGACAAAATTCAAATATTGATTGTATGTTATTATCTGTTGTTCAACATTTATACTGGATAAAACAGAAGTCGAACGAATTATTTGTTGAACGGTATCAGAGTTTATCAGATTAGTATAATTTTCTATTTTTAATAGATTAATAATATTAGATACGATACGTAGAAGATCATTAAGCTTTTCTTCAATATCGTCATGAAGCATAATATTAACTTCATTTTTATCGATTACAACATGATCAAAAAGTAATGTTAAAGAAAATTCACGTTCAAATGGACGCGCAGTTCTTAAAATAGTATTATGAAAGTGTTTATTTCGACTACGTTGTTTTTCGCTTTTATTATGATTTTCTATCAATTCTAAATGAGAAAAAATATTCAATACATGTATACAGTTAAACTGTTTCCTTTATTAGTTACTCGACTCCGATTGCTCGGATGATAGCTGTTGTTCATGTTCATGTTCAGGATGTCTTTCAATTGTTACAGATGGTATAGATGAAACATCTTTTCCATCCATACTATTCTTCGTGTTGTTCAGATTTACAGATAAAGTTTTTTTGTCATCAACTTCATAACTATTATGCTGTTGTGTCTGCGTAAAGGATTTATCATCGTTATACAAGATTGAGTTTTCATTTCTTGACGGAGTAAATTCGTTTAATTGACTTATCACTGGACGCTGTTGTGCTGGTCTTCTAAAATTAGATAATTAATTTGATAAAACAAAAAGAAGTAACAATACAAATATGTACAAACCTCTTTGACGTTGAAAACTGTCTTCTATCGTTTGAACTTTTGTTTTTCATAATAGATTCTCTGTTCAATGTACAAATACTCTATAATACAAAGGTTAACGATATCAAAATTGTTTAAATTGTTCGTAGATTCATTTACGCTATCCGTCTGCCAATAATGTGGTTTTTCATAATCACTACGTTGTTGTTCAAAGCCAGAAATCACATAACTATCAGGAAAGTTTATTTCTTTCAAATAATTACACACTGATCTTAAATCATATAGCTGAAAGCATTTTGCTTTTGAATTAACAAAATGTGGACAATCTTTTGTATCGCATTTTCTACTAATTTCATTGAAAACTTCCTCATGGTATGATGACCAAGTTACTTCTGTTGGTCGTGAAAGATCCTTCGAAAACAAAACAAAAGACAAATGTTCAGCTTAACTATAACAGAATGAAAAAGAGATTTTGTTACCAATTCCCATAGTTTTGCTTCACGAGTATTCAATAATCGTGATAGTTCGAAACATGGTAGACATGGTCGTCCTGTAAACGGATGTTTGATTAAATAGTACATGTGATTTTCAGATATTATAAAATATTTCATATTGTATTCTTGTAGTATAGAATTGTTATCGTTTGATTGTAATGTAGAATTAAAATTTGCGAGATTGGTTGATGAGACAATTATTGACATTAAAGATTTTATAGTGTTGTCATTCGAAATCGCATTTGTATCTAATGTGGCAGTATGATCCTTGAATTAAAAGGAAAGTATTTAACAAATTATCCCTGAGGTATCATGTTTTATTTTGAAAAAAATTAAAAAGATTACCATCCAATTAGTTTCAGTCGCTCTTGTAAAATTTAAATTACATCTTAAATGCGAAGAAGTAGCAGCCAGAAATCAATTTGTATATCATATTAAACTCACCACTGGCGTTCGAGAGATTCCGCTTTGATGGTTCATCGATGTTGACTGTTGATTATCAGATCGATAGGGAAAATTGTTGTACGAATGTAAAGAACTATTATTAAATTGATAGGGCCGTGCTCTAAAAGCGGTGGATCTAACGTCTGATGCTGAAGCTTCACGATAGGAGTTTTCACGATACACAGTGTTCCTTCCCCTATTACGATATCCATTGTTATGATATCCACCTATATTTGGATAACCTCGTCGTTTTCTATCCTTTTGTTCATGTACAAATTTTTCTATAATGGCAGTGTTTTCATTACCTATACCATAAATTAAACCATTTCTCTCGTCAATACAACATACATCTTTCATTGATCGTAATAGCGAAATAACATCTTTGAAACCAAATTCTTCAAACGGAAGTGGACGTGAAACTAAAGTTTGATAATCTTTTATGAACTGTTCTATGGTTAATCCACCCTTAGCCGATAATAATACTGCCGTTATATGGACTTTCAAACTTGTATAGTCTGATGATGTTGTCATTTATCTTTTCACTTTCGACCAATTATGAATATGTAATTATCGTTCTTTGATGAAAATTTCTCAAACGTATATATCCGATAGTGCGCTCCTAAGTTATATTTATTCTAAAACCTAAAACAAAAACGACTGCTCAGTTATTTTTAATTTGAGATTTCGCGCAAAGTTCATTATGGGAAGGATTTTGATACTAGAGATGTGTGTAACTGTCATGGTCACGGTGGCATCGAGACTATTAGAAAGAACACTGATCACAAGCCTTCATATTAAAGAAGCTGAAACGAAAAATATATTTACGGAAAATGCTAGCTTAACTGCACTTTTTGATTATTTAGCTTAGTATCAACTAGTAACTACTGATAGATAATCAGTCAATTTGTTTATTAAAAATCTATAAAATGCACAAATTTTAACCTTTGAAAAAATTTCTCATAGCCATCGCATCATTTTGATAACAATAACTAATCCACTCATATATTTTTGTCTGAAGCATACTTCAGCGTATATTCGCAATTTAGACCACGTTAGCTCAAATCTTTGTCAAGAGCTGTTTAATACTTTGATATTTATTATTTGTATCAGAAAAAAAAAGAATGAAAGGTAGATGGTTTTACACGAATGATATGATAAGACCCCTGCCCCACACACAAAATTTTAATGTGAGCACTATGTGAGCAATACAGACACAGAAAAAAAGAAAAGTAAAAAAATTCAAAATTTTCATATTTATTTTCGATACAAAACAACGATTACCCTTAATTAGTAAAGAAAAAAAAGAACACACACAAACGTACACACTGATACAGAGAAAAAAAAAATGTATGTATAATTACAGATATCATTTTTTGTGAAAAGAAGACAATAAACTGTACATATATAGAGAACATATGAAATATATTTAAAAAAGACTAATGACAGCACAGTTTCAACAACAGCTAGACAAAAAAAGAAACGTGCTAGGTTGCTTAACTCTACAGAAAAGAATTGGTGAGCATACACAATTGAATGTAACTTACAGAAAATTATCGTAAAGAAGAGTAATTTATTTTTTTGAGGTTAGTTCATCGGCAGATATTGATGGTGAAGTTGATTTTTTCAAAAAACCACGCGATACTAAGAAACTAAAATTATCTTCTAATGAATTATCATCTGGAGATAATGGTTGTTTCATCTCAAGATCCATTGGTTCTTGTTGTTCTTCTTGTTGCTGTGTTGGTGAAAATGATAAAACTGTTTTACAATTTTTTATTGATTCATCTCGAAACATTCTACTACGATCTGGTGTACTACTTGACACCGGTTCGAGTGGACTAAGTATCGATGTATCATCACCATTGTTACTATTATTATTTTTATTAATATTATCAAAATTAGCCCAATTTGATGTGGTTGATAAACCGTTTGTTAAATTAATTTCTGACATTGGTATATTACTAAATACTTCTTTCATATTATTTCGCATTGGTGATGTTGATACAAAATAATTATTATCATGATCATCATCTCCATCATCATTATCATCATCATTATTATTATCATTATGAGGTACTGTTGATATTTTACTCATTGTTTCTACTATTTGTTTAGAATTTTTCATTTTATGTTTATATTGTTTTTTTCTTTGTTTTACTATATTGTCGTTATCGTTATTATTTTCATCAGAGGATGAAGAAGAACTAGAATATGTTTGTTTTTCATTCTCATTACTACCGTCTAAATTTTGAATTATCATTGAACGATCAGCAAATGATATGGGACGTTCTTTCCAAACATCATCATCCGCATTGGTAGCCTAAAACAGAATACAAAAACAAATAAAACTGAGACAAAGTATCATATTTCAACGTATTTCAAATATTCTGGTCACTTACCAAAATTTTACGTACGTTTTTTTTTCGATTAACAATGGTATCTTTACTTTACTAGACACTCTATCTCTCACTAATGTAAATACAACTAACCATCTAAATTAGATGAATTCATTCATCAGACGGATGATTTCAAAGTATGGATATTATATCATGAATAAACCTGATTTACTTTTACAAACCTTCTTGTTCTTGTTTTCAGGTCAAATGCTTTTTAAATTCACATTCAGAAATGATGATTCAAAAAATAAACTCGTTCAAAATTTTAGGAAAAAAAAATATTTCAAAAAAATATTTTTATCAATTTGTTTTAAATAAATGTATTTAAAAAGCATTTAGCTAGTTGATGTTACTGTAACTATACAGATATATTTGTCTACTGCATGGAATTGTAAAAACAAACAAACTAAAAAAATGAATTATGCAAAACGAGAACAGTAGTACTCTCTATTCGCTTAGCATAATTTAGTGGGTATATATTTTATTGTTCCCTATAGAAATTCTTTAAAACTTTTTTTGTCTGTTTATACAATTTTCTTCAAAATTCAAAGAGTTTGTTGTAAAAGAAAATCGTCGTAAATCTGAATCTCCACGACTATTTTGAATTAAAAAAATGTTTACAACATACATAGACAGTCTATAGCCGCATAAAAAGTAGAAAAGTCTACAATTTTAAACCTTTGTTTTGAGTGCGTACTATGTTAATAATTCATCAAGGGCGTTATTTAGCTTTCAAAAAACATACAGACAGCTCAAAGAAAAACTTTGAATTTCAAAATCGCTTACCTCATCATTAATAGTATTTATATTAAATGGTCCTAAATCGTTTGCTCTCAACGAGCACAACTGTTCAAAACTAAACTCTGCTGATGATTTTTGTATATTTAAATTTTGTCGATGATTTTCTAATAGATCGGGCAAAATTGGTTTACTATGATGAGGTGATAAATTATTTCTTGTCTGTATTATATCATCTTGTTGATGCCACAATAATTGTTCACCAAACAATGTATTAGGAAATTGTGCTACAAACGATATATTCTTCATTTGATCAACTTTACGTTCATTTGTTTTTGAATCCGAATGATTATTGGATATATCGTCATCTTCAATTTCAAAACGTTCTGCTTCCTCGTCGTCATCATCATCATCATCTATATAATTGGTACCACTTGATCCAAAACAACGATTATTATATGTCTGACGTCTTGAGAGACTATTTAGTTCATCAGAACCAAATAATCCGCCATTATTATTATTTATATTTGAACGATTATCCAGATTGCCCGTTAACCATTTTTTTTCATCTAAATTTAATTGTTCAACAGCTGTTTGCCATCTTAATTGAAGCATATTATCATCCATTTGTTCTTCATCTTGTTTTTGATTATCATCCGATTTTTTTAAATATTCTTTATAATCATCAAATAAAGATGCATGATCACGTAGGCAACGTAAAATTGTTGCAACATGACCAGAATTAGGCGAACAAAAAATAGAACGAATTGTTGTAGACGATGATTGTTCCTCATTGAGAGGTTTTGATGATGATGATAATAAATAAGTTGTTTCATATTGATCAAGTAAACGTTCGATTAAGTTAGAATCATTCATTAACGATTGAAATAAAGCATAGAATGGACGATTTTTATAATGGAGTGTAGATTCGGAAATATATGGAGTATTATCATCTGGTATTACTGAAACATTCTGTAACGAAGCTGATTGATCCTCTGAAAAAAAGAAGAAAAATTTTTTCTTTAAATTAAAAGAAAAAATAGATCTGAGCTAAACAAATTTCAATTGTACTCCAGTTTTTTTTAAACTGAGCTAGATTTGACTCTCTTTTAGACTATTAATAATCACCTGTCACCGATATTTCTTCATCTGATGTTGTTGGTTTACTTTTGTGTTGAGGCGATGATGAACTGGTAGGAGAAAACGAAACGTTTACTGTTGATTTATGAATTGATGAATTTTGTTCATGGTGTGATGGTGTTCGTGTCCATACTTTATTTGGATTATTAATAGAATATGTGACATCATGAAAGAGTAATCGAATGATAGAATAAACTTGAGTATGTAAAAAATTATTATATACATAATGAAAAAATAAATCACAAAGAATCGTCGGTAACTGACACTCGTTAAATATTTGATAAATATAGTCACCGGCGCAATCATTTGATATTGTATACAATAATTTTGAGAAAAATTTGATCAAATTCAAACGTAATGAACCTAATTAAAAAATAAAAACATTAACCCAATATTCATTTTAATAGATAGAATGAAATACAAAACTTACCCAACGGTTCGGTGATAAACTGAAGGTTAGATGGTCGATCATTTTGACTATCTTGCTCTTTCATTAATGGTGGACACGGTATACGTAATACATTAATGAGTGATGATAAACGAGTTGGTAGTACACTTAAAAATGTGATATAAGCATGAATTAATGGATCATTTTGAAGTGTAAATGATGAAGTGCTTTGCTGTTGTTGTTGTGTAGAAATCAAATTTGTTTGATTGGAGGTGGTTGTCAGTTTATCTGAAACAACCGTATCATCTTCATCGTTAATCTAAAACGAGAGAAACGATCATAAACAACAGAAATTCAAAACAAAACTGATACTTTCCACATACTTGCATCTGATTGTTATTATTACTGTTTTTTTCATTTGAAACATCATTTTCTTCATCTTCTTCCAAATTTTTTTCTTTTGCTATTTGATCATCATTTGATGTTGCTGTCACTGTTTGAACTGGTTGTGTATTATCTAACGTTGTTGATATATTTGTATTGATTATATTAGAAGGATTTAGTGATATACATGTCGGTGCTGGCATATGTCTGGATAGTAATTCTAGAGTTGTCGAAAAAAAGTCACACGCATTTATTAATAAACTAGGTTTTTGATTTTGATATTCAATCATGGCGTCAAATATACGCTCCAAATTTGTTTTCGATATAATACGTTGACTAAGGACAATGGGAAGAACTTTTGTTCGAGGAGAGGATGATACTTGAGACTGTGATTGACTATCATCGTGTTCATCAGGATAAGATGAATTAAATAGTCGAGGAGGCATATTATTCGATTGAAGTCCTAAAAAAACAATCATAAATAAATAAAATCTTTGTTTTAAGTTTTGAATATCGTGACCAACATCCTATTAAATGTCTAACCTTCACTTTGCATCATTATTCCATTGTCATTCATTAAAATATTCTGATTGTTATTCATCATCATACCGTCATCGAAAGCTGTTTGATCAATTCCAAATCGAACAAAATCGTTTAATAAATTAACAGCATTTACATGTACAGACGATGAATTTGATTGTAAAAATCGTTCTATTATCGAATCGATCATATTTATTTGTTCATACCATTGAATCGCATCTGAACGATATTCACCACTATCAGATATTAAACGATAGAGAATATCCATAATCGATGTTGTATCTAAATGTTTTAAAATATCATCTTTAAATGTTTCTTTTGATTTTAGATATGCTAGTATTTCTTGTGGACGTCGAATTATTAATGTAATCATTATTCGTGAAAAATAACTGGCTAATATTGGATTTACTATTGGTTCATCATCGTTTTGTTTTGTTTCATTTAAGGTTAAAAATGAATATAAAGTATCTAAATTTGTTTGTTGTAATAATGTATCTTGTATACGTTGAAAATCACCCGATAATAATTCACTAACAACATGTGAATAACGAAAACGTTTACGTTCATCAATTTGTTCCGATGGTAAATGAATGATATATTGTAACAATTCATTCATAACAGTCGATTGTACTAAATGATCAATTAAACGTTTATTTTGTGATAAACATTCTTGAATTAAATCATTTTCATCTAATAAATCTTCTAATTTTAAATTATCAACATTATCCAATAACTTATCAATTGATGATGTGACAATATGACATTCCCAAAACATGATTATGGTGTAGTCTGCAATACTAATAACAATTAAAATGAAAATAAATATCAAATTAATAAAAATCAATCAATATTTTTCAAAATCAACTAGACGACTAATTAAATGAATAAATATGATAGAAAAAAGAACTTATCAATATATTTAAAAGAATCAAGAGAACACAGAGTATTGTACAATGAAGAAAAAGGAAATATCATGTACGCCATTGGCTGTCGTTTAGAGAGTATGAATTTGTATTTTAGAAAAACTAAATTGTTCAAAAATCTATTTATCTTTTATATTACAATATAATATTTTCTTTTTTTAAACTTTTTTAACACACTGGAGTATAATCTCATCTTTTGGTAGAAATACCAAAAACTTGACATATATTTTTTTTCCATATAACACGGTTTGAAATAAGCACGTTTTACTCATAAGTCATTAACTACTAAATGGAAAGGTAACAAGTAGTCCTCATCCGAGTACTCTAAGAGCGGGGAGAGGGGGAAGTGATGGTATCCGACATACTAAGTCGGACTACTTTTTCTACAAAATTTCTTCGTTTACATCGCAAAAAAATAACGCACAACTGTATGATGATAATAAATGTGAATAGTTCTTGAAAGAGTAGATGCAAGAGCTTGATTTGAAGTCCTTAATGAATTCATAACGTTTAATAAGAAAAAAGAAATCTCTACCGACAACTACACCATTTTTCTCCTTCTAAAATAAGATTAACTATCATTGGTGTAACCATCTTTCAACGTTTTTTTTATTCGTTTTAATATCTCGATCAATCATGTAAAACAATTCAAATGATTTTTTAGACGGATGATATTTATCAATCCGATGTTTGTATATCTTTCTTTTATATTTATTTATTGATCTCAAGGTAATGTGAACATTATAATCTCAATAAAGATCTCTAACACAATATTCTCAATATCCCACACCATTTTCGATATCAACAAGTGAAGTGTATTTAGAAAAAGAAAGTACGTAGACTAACTATATCCAAAGAAGGCAAAAAAAAAGAAATCATTGTAACATTTAATTTCGTCGTTCTTCTAGACTATATACCGGAACATATAAAAGCAAAATTCATATTAATAGTATGCGTGTCAATCCACTTTTACCTCATTCTTACACAAGTAGATTTCGATTTTATTTGCTTGTGGATAGATACATTCGTTTAAAAAAAAAACGAACAACAAAAATAAACAAAATAAAGATTAAAATATTAATAATATTCGAAGCTACTCATTTGAAAGATAAAAATTAATCATCGTAACAATTATTTAAATGACGACATCGTTAATTTTAATTTGTCTATCACTCCTAATTACTGTTTCACATATCAGCAGTGAAACAGTAATCAAGCATAACTTGGTAAGAGAAAAACAACTTACACTGATTGTCAATTTCAGGTGTCTGTCTATTCCGGTTCTCTTTTGAGAGAGTGGAAACTATTTCTAACAGACAAATTCTATCCAAATCAAAAATATGACATTGGAAAACAAATGATACTTAATAATCGATCTTAACATCTGATATACTAGTATCATCAGAACTTTTTTCATTAAAAAACTCTTTCAATTAAAAGGACTTTAGTTTGAAATCTAGACTAATGGTCAGATATCATCAGTAGGAAAAGCGGCCAACTGACTTACATTTAAACGGCGAAACAGCTGATCATATTTACCAGGCACAAAACCAAGTGATGTTAAATTGTTGGATATAGAATCTTTCATAATATAGAAAAAACACCTGAGCTTGATGTTCTTTTCTTTTTTGTATGTGCATTGCGTTGTAAGTAGTTGCTGATCTCGCAAACTCATTATGTCTCTGTCGATTAGAACAACTTGGGCGTGCTTCAAATAGAAAGAGCACTAAAAATATTTACAAGATTAAACACATTACTTATTCTGCTTATATAAAGAAAATTTTCTGACAGAATAGTGGATAGTTCTAAAGCCTAGGCTGGATATTTTCTCTATCTAACGGAAAATTCTAGTCTATCTATTGAGAAAAGCCAATGATGCATTTTTTCTCTCATGTTTTCTTAGAATAACGTGCTCAGTTTTAGTGTACAGTTTCTTTCTGTTATATAATAGAATGACAATGGACAACGTTATTTGGATGAGAGTTTGGCATTCGGTAAAAGAGTAAGTTTTATGTCTTGATGAATGATATTTTTTAGCATGATAATGTACTTGATTTTCTTTTTAGGCAAACTCAGATAGTTTAAACGTAATGCATGTTTACTGTACAAAGAATCCATCACTTGAAGACTGTACGCGAATCAAAAAACAAATGGAAGATCTTTTGCGAAAATGTCGAGAAATGAAAACACCAGTGTCAGCTTGTAATGCTGTCAAAGACAAATATTGTTATATATTTCCTACTGAACTCTATTGTTATACACCGACCTCCACTGTATGTGCTTGGAAAAAAAATTACTAAACACATAATCGTGATGATATTTTTTTCTTAGATGTCTACCACATTTTATCCATCTACTATTGCGACTGAGTCGGACGATTGGATAATAGTGAGTCACAAGATCTTTCTGTTTAGAATATCTTTTTTTTTAATTGAATTTCTTCTTTTCTCAGATTCCATCTGACTCAGCCATATTGAATGATCGTGGTAATTATTGTGTGAAGCATCAAGTGGAAAAAAAATGCAAAAATCTGTTGAACTCATTAAAAGTCAGATATGAAGAATGCTCAAAAAAATCCAAAACTGATATATCATGCCAAACGTTCAAAACTAACTTGTGCGCTGCATTTCCCAAATTCTCTCCATGTTTGAATGGAGGAAAAATAAGGGTAAATAAAATAGATGCATAAACAGAAGACTAAGTCAAGTTATCACTTTTGTATTTTCAGCGGAGTTATTTACAATCAATACGAAAACGGAAACGAGTAAGTTTACCGATTGCTTAGTTTTTACAAGCTTGAAATAAAAAAGAGCTATTTGGGGCCGAACTCCAATCGTCTACGGAAGTCCATAAATATAATACTGCACAACACAAAGTTCGTCAATCAAAGTAACTAGTTCGAACTGGGACATGACTCAAAGCCTTACAATAGAAATTACTTATTACAACGTTTTTAATGAAAATTTTCTCCACCATGGGCTTTTCCACTTTGCTCTGAAATAAAAAGTAGAAAAGTTACGGTTGTTTTGACTATCTCGGAACTCTGGTTTTATCTCTCTTAGTTTTCTAGATCGAGTCAACTGAAATTTCCTCGCTTTGAATAGGATTAGGAATAGAATAAAAACGAGTTTTGTTTAATTTGATATCTATTGGCTAGGGGCAAAAAACAACCGATTGTACACTGCGATTGTTTGTTACATGGATCCGAAGAGAACGAAAAGTCAAAGCGGAAGTTCACTTAAGCCTGCAAAACAGAATGAAACATTTATAAAAGGGAAAACCCATTTGACTCATCAGTTATTAGTGACACTAACTTAGTACTTTACAAGAAAGACAACAATTATTTAATTACTCTCTCTGGTTAAAGTACGTGACTCGCAACACCAAAAGGAAATCGTTACTATCAAAATAAAAACATGAAAAATCTCCTTTATATTAAAGCTTTTCTCTTAATTCACTTAACTGTGCTAGACTGTTTGACAGCACTTTTTCTGGCATCCATATTTCACCACTCGCCATTACTAACTGCGCTTTGTGTCTATCGAAGGAAATAGCCATAGAGAAGGAAAAGTCTTTTAGAATCGCACTTTTGTATAATTCTTTAGAAATAAACTCAGTACAATCGCAAAATGATGATACATTGTGCTAGAGATGGCGCTGTAATACATGTATATGCTTGTTTATTTAGAGTATTAACAACATGTCGTAGTCGATGGCATTTTATATATGAGATTTTTCGACTGTCATAATCTATAATTAACCCTTTGTAAATTTAGTTTTATTTATTTGCCCTTGTCAATAAATCATTTTCGATGAGTAAATAAAATGTTCTTCTTTTAAAAAACGTTCGAAGAAGCAGATGTAATGTAATCTCCAGAATACAGGTGATCTCTATTTTTTATATTTCGAATCTCTTTTGAGAGAGTGGAAACTATTTCCAACAGGCAAATTCTATCCAAATCAAAAAACTGGCATTGGAAAACAAATGATACTTCATAATCGATCTCAACATCTGATATACTAGTATCATCAGAACTTTTTTCATTAAACAACTCTTTCAGTTACAAGGAATCTAGTAGAGATCAGTGTAGCAGAAATCACATAGACAAGAAGTTATAAATAGAATACTATGAAACGCTAGCGTAATGCTGTAAAATTCATTGAATTTCCTTAGATTTATAACATTACGAACGAAATTAATAAAAGATTTTCAAATTGTACTCACATAGCAAGTGATGAAATACAAGAAACTCCTCAGAATTGGACTTTTTAAAAGTAGAGTTATCCATTATTGAGAATCCAGTTGACTTCGATGAAAGTCATCTACTCATACATACAAAGAGGTTAAGATTTGCCACCGTACAGCATAAAAATAAAATAATGTTTTTAAAAAAAATTAATCAATCTTTTCATCTTTTTCCTTTCTATATGCAAATATTCAAACTTTAAGATTTTTAAAACAACTTAATATTTAATAAAATGCATTATTTAAAAGTCAAATCTGAGAGGGGTTACGAGTTGACCTTTATGAAGTTGACATCGAGTACGATTACGTTTACAAATGAACAGAAGAATATTTTTTCACATATGCCATGAGCCGTAGTAGAACTTCTTGTACCGAAGATCTTGAGAATAGAAATTTCAAGATCTTGAGTTTATCGAGTCAAAATGTTTTAGAGTATTATAATAAAAACTTTTTACATTTTCTTTCTTATACAACAGCTATAGTCATTAGACATACAATCATGTTTAGTTACAGGCTCATTCTGAACTGCTTGGCTTGAGAATGAAAAAATTTCGAGGCTATTTTGAGTATGAAAAGTTTCGTAGCTATATATAAACAAGAGTGTGA